ATTTATCTGTACATCAAAATCTTTTTCCCTGCTTGGGAAGTTTTCTGCTATTACTTTTGTGAACAAGTTTTTTAATGTCCTTTGCACCATCTCCTTTTTCATTGACTCCAATCAATCTTATGTTATTCTTCTTTGCATCATGTAGCAGCTGTTGTATTGCTTTTTATTGGTCCTTTGCTTTGTTTGTTTGTTTGTTTTGAGATAAGGTCTTATTATGTAGTTCAGGCCGGTCCTGAACTCACTTGTAGCCCAGGCTGGCCTCGAACTCACAGTAATCCTCCTGCCTCAACCTCCTGAGTGCCAGGATCACATGCATTGCCACTATGCCTGACATCTCTTGCAATTTTAAGAAATCTTTCATTTGATGATCACTAAGAACAATCCTGTCTTCTAGATCTGATAGTCTATCTTCACATTGGTTGATTCTGCTATGTATACTTTCAATAGAATTTTTTATTTTTTATTTTTTTGGTACTGGGGATTGAATTTGGAACCTTGAGCTTGCAAGGCAGGCAGCGGCACCACTGAGCTAAATCCCCAGCCCTTCAATAGAATTTTTAATCTCCTTAATAACTGTTTGAATCTGTTTTGTGGAATCCAGTTCTTTTCTATGTTGGCCATTCATGGTTTCCATCACTTTCCTAAGGTCCTCTTTTTTTAAAAATGTGTCTGCTCTAGATTCACTAACCATGTCCTTCATTATTGTCATCATTCTTTAATTATCTGTGCAATCATTTCTTTCTTTCTTTTTTTAAAGAGATTCATGTGTTTGTTACTTCTGCTGCTACCACTTCAGAAAGTTCAGTTGGGTGGCTTTTAATTGCTTCCACCTTAATATCTCCTCAATGTGCCTTCTGTGAGCTGAAGGTCTGGGGTAGGAAGTCTTCTGTTTCCTTGCTTTCCCATTTTCCTATGTCTATCTGTGTTTATTTGTGTATATATGTGTGTATTTTAATTATGTATGGCCTCCTCTCCCCCCCCCTTTATTTTTGGAGGGTGGAGTTACGTAGTTTGAGAACTAGAGAAGTGAGGAGAGTTTGTGGCTTATATGGAGATTTTTTAGTAGGATGTTGACTTCCGATGAATAATTTCCAGCTTTGTATGTCCAGTACTAGTATTTACTCCTTCTATTATTATTATTATTATTATTATTATTTTTGGTACCGGGGATCAAACTCGGGACCTTGTGCTTGCAAGGCAAGTGGCAGCACTACTGAGCCAAATCCCCGGCACTCCGATTATTTTCTTTAAGTGATTTCAACTATGTCTGGATGTTTTGCTGAAAGGATTACTTCTGGTTATAAAAGCATCCAGCGATTCAAGCTTACAACACTTGCATATGATAGTTCTCGCTGTTATACTTTTCCTCCTTGCCTATTCACTATGTATGCTATGATAGTTTATTAGGGTTGTTGTGCAATAAGGAGTTTTGATGCTAGGGGGTCGATGTGAAGAAGGGGATAGTGGTAGCTGAGAAGAAGAGGTTGACATGGGGTCTGATTTTATTGGAGTCCTTTTAGTTGCATTGAAGGGTTAGTACTGACAGTTTTCAGAGGATATTTTGTAAGGGCAAGGGCAAGAACTGGGAGAAAGGGGGTTTACTTTGTGATTGAGAAAGTCTATGTGGTTGTCAGAACTTGCTGATAGGGAGGACAATAAAGTAGGTAAGATATGAAAGAGCCAAAGTGTTAGGATGAGGATGATCAAGGAATAATACTAGAGATGATAGGAGTGACTGTGAGGGAGCTAACTATGGGGAATTAAAAAACTTGGGAGGAGGAGTTTATGTTTTTGGAAAAACAATAAAGATACATTAATAATATTTTCTTGGGGGTTTGAGGTGAAGAAACTAGATAGGAAGCTGAGACAAGGGAGATAAACCAGATACCTATTAAATCAGAGTCAATGAAAGAACAAATACACAAAAATAACAGCTTTAAAAACAAAGGAAATCATAAAAGAACATAACATAACTCCACATTACTAAATAAATCAAGAAACATACAAAAACTTAAACCTATAAGATGTTCAATAGGAACACAGATTAAATATTCTGATGAGACATTACATATGTGATTCCCAAGTAGCTTCTTTGCCAGAGTTTGAGTGCTGACATCCCAGTAACTCCTCTGACCCCTCCACTGCAATACTGAAGCTAATTCCTTCTCAGGACTTCTTTCTGCCAGATTACAGGCATTCTTGCAGAATGATCCAGTCTGAGTTCTTGGGGTTAGGAACTCTTGCTGTCCTTCCTCCAGGGTGTGACTGATTTGGCAAATAGGTTCACGGCACGAAATTGTCCCCTGAATCAGGATTATTCCTATGTAATCAAATCAGCTACAGCAGTAAGAGGGTAGTCCATTACAGTGGTATCTATCAGGGCTAGTTCAGAAAAAAATACTATGAGACCCTGTTCTGGGTCTCCCTTTAGCTCACAGAAGCCATCACTGATTATAGTGTAAGCATCTTAACAATCCAAGTCTTGACCCACAGTTAATGTACACTAAATGTGATGGCTGAGTGTCCTCTTATGGTGAAAACCAGCATTCAATAGTAATTTTATAGAATCAGTTATCTAAACCCCAGGGTGTTAGGGATTGTGTAATGCCAGGGTGAGGGAGAAGAGAAGAGAAGAGAAGAGAAAAAAGAAAAAAGTTTTATTTTTATTTTTCTTAAGCCCCCTGCTCCGTGGAATGGGAAGGAGGGGGGGCATAGAATAGTAATGATGGTAAGGGTATGTTATATGTTTAGAAGGAGATAGCAGGGAAAACTGGATACAAAGTTGGTAGTGAGAAATGGGGATGGGAAAAGATTCTATGACTGATATAAATATTAGAGAAAAAATTAAAGGGAGACAAATGAAAAGGGGGAGAGGAAAGAAAAGAAAAATTGAGAATGAGTAATACATGGGAGAAAGAAGTCAGGTGAACAGATATGGGTGAAAGTAGGAGGGTTATACAGGGACACAGGAGAATTCCCTTACCCTCTATAAACTAACTATATTGGGAGGTAGAAAGCCAGAGGAAGAGAAGCACACATACACAGACACAGTCATAAAAGAAAAAAGGGTAAAATAATAGAATAAAAGGGGGGATGTACAGCAGGAGGAAAACAGCAAAGAAGTAAAAGAATAAAAAAGTAAAAAAAAGAAAAAAAGAATACAATCAAATAAAGAATAATAAAAGTTTCCCATTGTTTTGTATGCATAGCTCTTTTCCCCAGCCTAGGGTTAAGGAGCAGAGCTCAAGCTAGGATGTGTTTCTGCTTACTCTGGGGTCTGAGGTGGCAGTCTGCCTCCAGAACAGTGTTGGGTGTAGAGATCTGCTTACAGTGAGCACATGGTGCCAATGCGAGCTTCCAAGCTGCAGAACTTGGCCACTGACTGCAGGAGTCTGATCTGTGTTCACCAGCCCCTGCCTCTCGGAGGAAGTGCCCCCAGTCTGTCTCCAACTTCCAGCAGTCTCCAGTAACCGTCTTTCCCTCATCCACTCTGGGAACTTGCCAGTGTGAAGCAGGCAAGAGGCCGCTCTGGAACGCAGCCTTTCTCTACAGTGGTGTCCCTGCTAGCTTTTGCTCCATGGTTGTAGTTGCGGGCGCTTGTACTGAGGTCACTCACCAACTTTTGATTATGGAAGGCCACTCTGGAAGCAGTGTCCTATGTTTTCCTTGCAGGTTCCAACTGCAGGTGATTCTTTCAGTCCCAATGCAGTTCTGTGGTTCTCTTTGAGCAAAAAAGTTGTTAGTTTCACTTTGCCTCCCAGCTGGTGGTTAGCCAGCCACTGTGGGTTGTGCTGCATGCGCGGTCTCTTCTCCATGGTGTGATCTATTTCTTCTGTATCACTTAATCCTATTTTCCTCTCCTCCATCAGTCCCTCTTGGTTCCTAGGTAACCTCCACTCACTTCGGTTCCTCTACAAGCTATTGTTTTCCAGACTCTAGACACTTTGTCCTGGAGAAGTTGAATTGCGGGCACTCACTGCTCCACCATTTTGGGGCCGCTAAAGCTTTCTCAACTGTTACTTATGAGTGATTTCTTCTGTGAAATGTCTATCCTCCTCTTTGCCTCTTTTCCTTAAGTGAACACTTTTAAGCAGTTATCTTCAAACTGATCCTTATTAATCATTTAAAAAACCAGTTCCTTTGTTTCCCCACATAGAAGCTCTTAGTTTAGGCCAAGGTCTGTTCAAAGAGTAAAGTTCCCACTTTTGTACTCAAGGTTTGCAAGCAACTTTCTACTTCTACATTCTAATATTCTCCACATATATTATGTACCATCCCACCTGAATTAGCCATTCTTGAACATAACTCTGTATTTCTACTTCCTGTTTTTTTCTAAAACCAAAAATTTTTTTTAGAAATTTTGATTTCCATCCTCAGTTTTACCATTAAAATTTCAACCCATTCTCCAAGGTACTAGTAATTCTGTATATACTTAAACCTTAAAATAATGCTTACATTATATTAATATCCTCATTTTAGAGGTTAAAATAACAATGAAGGCTTATGTAGTGGGTTCTGTGATTTAGCAAATGCCACACAACTAATACACAGCAGGTTAAGATTCTAACCCAGGTCTTCTGACTTTGACTCCTAAGTTCCTTGAAAATAAGACCTAACTAAAAAATAATCAGCTTTGAAAACTAGAGATTAAAAATGCCAGCCCCAATCACCTTGCCTTACCTGCCATTACAGAGTAACCACCGAGCAAGAGAATAGTGAAGTATAATCTGCATGACACTGGCCATCACTGTGGTAATGACCAGCGCTTATTTTCTGGCTAGGTCTTATTTTTGGGGAGACATGGCTTTCAGATACTGGGTTAAGTTTGATGGTAAGGATTGCCTATTTCAGGAGACATCTTAGAAGTCCTTTATACCAAGCTGAGGGATTAGATCTCATTGTTAAAATAGTTACTCAGAACATTCCAGAACTGTGACCTGGGGGGAGAGGTTGTTCTAGTGCCTGATTATGAAAGAGTTAAATAGTTTCATATCACATACCTTTTCTTCTTGCTTGGCCCTTATTATATCATCATTTTCAAACACCACAGTGACCCCCGAGAAATTTGTGGCATCAGAGGTATTTTTGACTTCTGTGGCTTCTATGGCTTCTATGACTTCGGTGACTTCCATGATAATTCTTACATCAGGGCACTCCATGACCTCATTTTCTGGAATATCTGTGACATCTGTAATGTCAGTAATATCTGAGAACTCTGAAAAATGTATGCTTTCTGTGACATGTATGGGGTTCTGTGCATAGGTACATGTGTGGGGTCTGTACATCTGCAAATGCTGTAATATCCATGATAGCCATGGAGCTTGTGACTTCAGTGCTGTTTGTGATTTCTGAGAGGCTTGAGACTTCAGACACTTTGGAAGCTTTGGCTTTCTCCTGATGTAAGAGGCAGATGAGGTCCATCCATTGAGAAAATAAGGCATCTTTTTTATTCGCAGGGACACAAAGCTGCAAGTAGTAGGCTCTACCACTCACCAGCTTTACGTTGAGGCACATATTCTCAGCATTATGCACAGAAAGAGTCACAAACTGCAGAGGAAGAAACCTGCAAACAGATGCCAGTGTAACATTATCAAGAGACTTGGTTGGAAATCTGTAAAAAGTCTTTCCTTTTATATTTTATAGCAACAGAACAACAGGCTTGTATCACAGCTGGCTCTTGGTGGGGATTCCTGAGAGTCATCTGACCTTAATTACGTGCCTAAGACTCTAATGTACTAAAAAAAACAGAACACCAACAATTTACCACAAGAGATATTGTCCATTTTAATTAATCTTTAAAAATTGACTCTTAAGAGATGTCAAGGTACTTGCTCAATATCATAAAGCAAGTTAGTGGCTGAGACAAAATCAGAGGTAATCCTGATAGAAGCTGGGATGTTGGAAGGAGAGGAGGCATTTTCTTGAGAAGCAATTTATTATGAATCTTCATTTCCTGTTTCTTAGTTTTAAGTTTTAAAAATCAAATGCCTGTTTGATTGCTTTTGTCATAAACCATTTTCCTGGACTTTCAGGACACAATTCGGTCATTTGAGGAAGGGAGTGAAGGTGAGTTGCTCCTTTGAAGCAACTGTCTTGAGTGTTTTCATTTTCAGCTCCCCACGGATAAAGCATGTTTTCTGAGAGTCTTAACCTCTTCTCTTTGTAACTCACCTGGTGAGCACCAGCTTCTCTGTAGGAGATGTCAGGAGACTTTTAAAAAGGGGTTTGCCATGTTTTTGTGCAGTGGGTTTCAGATGTGCCAACAGCATCACATTGGGGATCTTATGGGTAGAACTGGAAGAACAGATTCCCACAGTCACCCAGTTGGCTCGGTTGTGAACGTAAATGGATTCACCTCTCCTGTTGACCTGAGTGCAGAGAACAGGAGAGGAGGTTTTTGATAAAAGGCATGGCCCTGACTACCTTGCTTACTGGATTTGTATGGGAGGTCAGGAAATAAAGGAGAAATGAATCATGATGCATCCAATCCTAAATTTGCTTATGTTAATTTTTGGAAATACCACAATGAACAGGCTGGGTGGAGAGGAGAGGGTATAAATACATTATGTATAGCAATAATATCTTTGCTACTTGGCAAAAGAAGACTGGAAAAGGGGTAGTCAGAGATGAGAAGGAAGCCAGAGAGGAGGTATACTTTGGTTTCTTAGTTGTATGATGACCTGTTCAATTAAAACATAAACCTTTTAAAAGCAAATATATTCAGAAAGAGGTTGTAGCCCACCCAAAGCCATGTCTCTTTTCTGACTAACAGAATCCTGGGTTTATTCATTACCCATCTCTCAGAGATAGTGACTCAGCTCAGGGGTTAAATTCCAATTAACCTAAAATTGACATGGTGACTTCACCTCCTTGACAGACTGATTTCAGCAGGGGGCTTGTGGCCCAGGCCTGGCCAGTGAGACAAAGGTGGGGCCCTCCTAGTGGTTCTAGAAAAGATTTCTGAGCCTCCTCACTAGGGGACACCAGGATGAGACAGTTTTTCATGTATTATTGTCCTGTTTGGATGTGACATCTTGCTAGAGGGTGACAACAAAAAGAGAGAACCTAGGTCCCTCAGAGTACACAGGTATCCTGGGTTCTTTCACTCTGATATCATTGTTTTCTTTCTCACTCAAGCCTATTCAGTCAGAAATCCTGGTAGCTTGTTGGGAAAGACATACAAATCAGGAGAGGGTGTGCATCTTTAAGGGTCTGACATCACATTAGGACACAGGGTTGTGTCTGATCTATTCACTGCTATCTCCCCAGTGAAGTGCATGTACTATATAATTAGAATGTGCAAAAGGTGATTTGAAAATAGCACAGCAAGAAAGGTTAAAAATAAAATAAATTAGTAGGAAAGAAGCAAGTAGAAGCCAAAAAACACTGAATCATGACTTCTCACATAAGTTCTGGAGCCATCACTGGACATGCCTCTGAAGGCTTTACCTCCTGTCTGTAATATACTGGGCTGGAGAGGTCACACTAGCACTTAAGTGTCGGTGGAGAGAACACATTTATGAAAGAGGAAACCTCTTTACTTTTGGAGAAGTGTCTGTTATTCTTTCTGTAACCCCTGTGGAATCAGCTGAGTCTGCTTGGATGTTTTGGAGTTAGAGGTTCAGCGTTCAGTACTAGACATTTTTGTGAGAGTATGGCCCATACCACTGAGCTCATTTTCCTATTTCCTTGGGTGAATATTTTAATGTTCCATGTTTAGAGGAGAGTTGGCACTTCTTCCATGCACTTAGATGTAGTTTCATTCATAATATAGGCACATTCCTATGAGAAGAAAGCTTTTCTCCCTGATACTACATGACAGTTATGTTTCTTCCTTTGGAACTAAGAGCTAAGAGTCATTTTAATTCTTAGTTTGTTATACACGTTTTTCTTAAAATGTCTTCTAGAAAGAAGTTATCTGAATGCCATCCTGTGATAGGATGTTCTAAAAATCACTTCGTGTGGCTTCTCACTTTGTGGGAAAATTATGGTAAAATGACAATTGTGGTAGAATTAGGACAGAATTCCCACATAAGAGTTTGCTTGGAACATTTGAAATGAATGTCCCTTTAACACTGTAAGTATTCCAGGTTTTTTGAAATTCTAAAACTGTTTGCTTTAACAATACAACAAATTCCCTTGGCACATTTAAAACAATTCTCCTCCAAACCTATTCAGTTGTCTTGAGAAAATTAAATACTGCAACTTTATTCGATGCTCAAGTATTTACCTGAATAAAATTGCTCTGTATCATGGGAGGAGATACAAAAGGGGCATACCCTCCTCCATCCAACATATTTTGAAGATGTCCTGGATCATGCTCATCGATTGACTCCCTTTTGTTCTTCTTCATTGTGCTTATACACAAACATCAGAAAATTGAGGGAGCAAATACAGACAGAATATCACAATTAAGTTTCATTTATTAATCAATTTAGCAAATTTTATTAACATCTATATACATCTAAACAGGACTAATAAGATCCATGGCTTCATACAGCTTTCATCCCATAGGGTGACAGATTATAAGCAAAAAAAAAAAATTAGATGATAGAGACTATATAAAGACCGTAAAACAGATACTTGTAATAAAAAGTGATGGAGATGTGTAGCTAGCAAGCTATTAGGGTTTATTAGGGTGCTTAGGAAAGGCCTCACTAGCAGACTTATCAATATATATGGTCCCCCACCCCAAACTATAACTTTATATATTCCTAATTAATGGTATACAGTACTACTCTTGAAATTATGCAGGTTTCTCAAATCCTTTTTATATACGTAGGATGTCAAAACTATACTAAACTGAGAACACTTCTTCCATACAATTAACTCCTACCTGAGCCTCAGCTCTTGGCTGGAAGATAAACAGTAGCTATCTAATCAATAACAGTTCATCCCTTGCTGTGACAATTCTAATGAACTAGGCCCCAGTAAATATAAAGATCACTCTTCCTAATTACATGGAAAAAAGATGTACAAATGGCCAATAATTACATGAAAAATGTAGATATCACTAATCATTAGAGAATTGCAAATCATAACTACAATGACATATTACTTCACATCCATAAGGTTGAGTACTATTAAAAACAAAGAAAGCTGAAATACAAAGCCAGGCATGGTAGTGCATGCCTTTAGTCTTAGCACTTGGGAGTTCAAAACTAGCCTGAACTACATAGTGGAACCCTGTCTCAAAAGAAAAACAACAATAACAATAAAAAACCAAAAACAAACCAGGGCTGGAGATGTAGCTTAGTGGTAGAGCACTTGCTTAGTGCGCACAAAGCCCTAGGTTTAACTCCTATTACTGCAAAACAACCCAAAACCAACCGCCCACCCAAAATAACCACAAACAAGAAATAACAAGTGTTGACAGGGATATGGAGAAATTTAAACTTTTGTGTACTGTTGTTTGGAATGTATAATGGCACAGCTGCTATGGAAAATGATGGTGACTTCTCAAGAAATTAAATACAGAAATGTATATGACCCAATAATACCACTGCTGTATATATTAAAAAACTGAAAACAGAGTCTTTAAGAGATATTTGTACTATGTCCATAACTGTTATTCATAACAGCTAAAATATGGAAACAATCTAAATATGCATTGGTAAACAAAATATGGTATATATGTTCAATGGAATATTAGCCTCAAAAAGGAAATAAATTCTGACACATAGTAGAATATGGATAAGGACACTACACTAAGCCAGCCACAAAAAGCAAATATTCTATGATTCTACTTACAGTATAAGAGTACCTAGAGCAAGTAAATCACAGAGACAAGTAGAATGGTGATTGTTAGGAGCTATAGGGATGGCAGAATAGTGTTTATGAGTACAGAGTTTCACTTTTACAAGAGGAAAAAAGTTTTGGAGATGGATAGTAGTGATGGTTGCAACAATATTATGACTATATTTAATAACACTTGAACTATACACTTTAAAATAGTTAAGATGGTAATTAACTGGAAGCAGTAGATCAGGTATATGTGTGTATGTGTGTGTGTGTGTGTGTGTGTGTGTGTATATAGATATATATACACACACATATAGTCTCACCTCAGTCCTTCATCAGAGACTCCTTTTCTTTCATAACCCAAGCAAAAAGGTCAGTAGTGAGCATATCTTGTTGCAGCCCAGCTAGGGCTGTGAGATGCAGAATTCTCCATTACCTAACATGCCATGAACACATGGCTTGGGGCACAACCAGTCATGGGAATCCAACTCCAAACACAATTATATGCCTCCTACTGGTGGCAACTCAATGGCTCCCTTAACTATATCTTATGCATGTACAGAGGGAAAGTGAAATGTCTCAAGAAAAGCAAAAAAGTAAAGAAATTTAAATAGTCTATAGAAGCTAAAATGAGATTTAAAAAAGAGTACTCAGAAAAAGAAAGAGATACAACAACCAACACCACCTAAAACAGAAAGGATGAACGATAATACTCAGCAGTATTCATTTTGTGCTTATTAAGTGGCAGGCAATAAAGGCTTCATTTATAGGGACTATCATTCAATTTGTATAACACTATGAAGAAACACTATTAAGACACTCATTTTATTACCATGCAATGGGGGCTCAGAGAGGGAAAGTAACTGCCCAAACATCACACAACTAATCAGTCCTCAAACCAGGATTTAGACCCTGGTAGTCTGACTAGAGCTATTTATTACCCAATGTTCAACCCTGCTTTGGGCACTTGGAAAGATGATTGTGAGTGCTGTCAAGGATGCAAGGGATCAGGATAGGTCAGGATGTGGGAAAGAAGACAAAGAGGAGGAGGAGCATAAGAACACTGAAAGCGTCCTTCCCCTTCTTCCTGTTCCTTCCCCTTCCTGAAAAATTTAGTCCTGAATGCACTGGTGGGACAGAGAGAGAGAGGCAGGAATCTATGGTGGAAGAAGTGGGGAGCCACAGCTCAGAATCCAAGGAAGGCAGAGCAGTCTGGATTTCTCTTGTGCCCCTCTCAGCTCAGTCTCATATCAGTTCACATGTCTCTCCAGATATCTAGAAAAGTTGATCACTATAGATAACATCTTTGTCAATTCCCGGTACCAAAAAGTAAATAAATAGATAGCATCTTTGTACACTGAGTCTCCAAGACAGAGGAAGAGAGAAACCAGGCTTGGAATGTGAAATAAGTAGAAGAGGAAAGGAGAGAGAAGAGACAAAAGGAAAAGAGAAGGTTTGCACATGGGCTCATCCATAAGGACTATTGGTTCTTACCTCATATCAGGGCCCAACCACTCTTTTCTGTTGATGACAAGGTTTGTAACTCATTTCAGTTTGGGCTTCCTCCTTTTCATGATGAAACCTTTGTGAAAGAAACAAAAATAAAAAATAAAGTATTATACAAAGGAAGGTGATTGCAATTCTAAACTTTACTTCTACTTTTCCTAAGTATATTAGGTGGGCAAAGAATAGTCAGAGGGGTCTGCTGTGCACATTTGAACCCAGCCATTATTGATGACCATGATCTTCTGTGAATGGAACCAGACATAGTCTATAGCACATCATTGGCCTGAAACTGCCAGACCATGAAATCCTAGTCTTCTCTGACACAGAAGATATTTGATAATGTAGCAAAGAAAGTAATATAGAGTACCATCTGAGTTGTGTTTAAATGCCACATAAAATGTGTTCCTATGGTTATCTGAAGCTTTATGTTGACACATTCTATTAAGATTGAGAGGTGCTGAGGATTTAGCTCAGTGGTGCCGCTGCCTGCCCCGCAGCTGCAAGGTCCCAAGTTCGATTGCTGGTACCAAAAAAAAAAAACCAAAACAAAGATTGAGAAAGTCCCAGTACAAAACTAGCAGAGCACATGTCAGAGGCTTGGAAGAAGGTCTCAAAGTATTCCCTTAAGAAATGTGCAGAACATGATAGAATAAAGATATTGTGTGGGGGCCGCCATTCCACTGCTCCCAGGGCAGATGAGGTGAGCGGCGCGGGCAAAAGCAGCAACTCTCCCCTACAATAGAAATGAGAAGACACATAAACAAGCCTCAAAAACACACTTCCAGATCACTTACAGCAACCTCAAAGGGAAACGAGATGGAACAATCTAATATTCAACCACCTGGACTCCCTGAACTGGCAACAAAAGAGGATCTGGGAAAAATGAAATCAGAAATAATTTCTCAGATAACAGCAGAG